CTCCTCATGTTTGTAATCTCTGTGGATGCTGTCCAACTTGTGCTGTAACTCTCGGAGGGCCAGCTCCGATGATTTCTCTTTCCTGTGATGGAATCCTTTCTCGCATATGTGGATGCCATTTAATTCTCTACACAAGCTCACTTACAAATAGCACCTAAACTTTGAATGAATGGCAAGTGTTATATATATATATATGTGATCTCAAATCACATACTCCAAGCACTCCAAGTTTGAAACGAGAGAGAGAATGATGAAAATTGTGTACTTTTTGGTGTGTGTATATATGTATTCATGTGTGTCATTGTCTAAAAACTGAGAGTGTGATTCAGAAGTTACACATTATTGACATAAAAACTGAGTTGAAAAAGGGTTATACTGTGTGTTGGGAAGTCATTTTCCATGCAAGTTAATGCTATATCTTCACATTGAAACACTCAATTACGTGGAAGCTACTATTTGGTGCTTCCAGATGCACGTGGGTTATTTTTGCTTTAAACTCAAAAGCAATAACGTGTCATTATTAGACATGCTGTGAATAATTTAAGCTTTTAAACAACTTGGAACCAAATAAAAATTTATAAATGCATGTTTGGTTTGGATTATGCAAAGCAGTTACTCACATCACTTGAAGTGATTGTTCTCTTTGACATAAGAATTATAGAGGAGAAAATTGAAAAAAGACACCTAATTAACGCTCAATCAAACATGTTACATGGAGTTAAATTATGATGTAGACTATTATAATGAAGCGTTTTATTGCTTTGGATGTTAATATCTCCGTGTTAGTGTCATTATAGTTCATCCTAGTGAAGTAAGGTTATCCAGGAATCCAGTGTCTGGTTTCGCATCTCAATGCTGTTGTCTGCTGTGTGTCGCCCTTCATTGAAGGAATCTTGGAGAGAGTGAGCATTCAGTGGTCACAGTCTTACACTTATGTCACAGTGTTATTAAATGTGCATGGGTCTTACAAAAAATGTCTGAGAAATAAACCAATTTGCTATTGTCACGCAAAAAAGGAAAAAAGAGAGTAAATGAAAGAGTGAGAGACGAGTAGAAACAAAATCTTTTCCCTGTATTGAATAAGTTGTCACCTTTTTTCTTGTTACTCATGTATATGGTACTTACATTACAGAATATGTATAAATTATGAATTTCCTAGATTTAGTTAACTAAGAAACAATGTTATTTGTAACATGTGTATATATGAATTAGAATAATGATATGGATAAAGATCTTCGGACAATCCACGTTTAAACAACCACCCATCAACAAAACAAGTATATTAATTTTATTTATAATCATAAATTTACCTATTATATATTAGGAGCATTTACATCCACTTAAAAAATACATCTATTAAATAACCCTATTTATTAATATTATATTCATAAATTGATTAAATTAAAATAAAATTAACTAAAAATTATTATTTGATTAATAATAAATGAAAAATGATTTATTGATAACTCAATTTTTTCATACAACTCCTCAACAACTTAATTTACTAGTCAAATAATAATTTTATTTTAATTTAATCATTTTATCAATATAATATTAATAAATGAGGTTGTTTAATAGATATATATTTTTTAGGTGGATGTCACTATTATCATTATATACTAATAGGATTGTTTAAAAGATGCATTTGATACTACTCAAAATATCATTGCCCTAATGATATTGAATTAGAGCGTTGAAGAGTTATTAATAATGAGAATAATTTGAGAGTTTATTGGTTAAGTATAACTTGTATAACAATATCAATGTTGATCATGAATCTAAAAATATAATTTACATGTTAAAAATATTTATTATTACAAACTTTAATTATTATATGACTCCCATTTTCAATTTTTCTTTATTTACTATAAACATTTATGTCGTCCATTACATATGCTAAAATAATAATTAAATTAAATAATATATATATATATATATATATATATATATATATATTTCAAAATATAAATGAATAAAATATATCAAATATTTAATAATGAAAATATATCAATATTATTTGTCTATCTTTTATTATTTAAAATGATTTTATTTACTATTTTATCTTGCTTGATTTATTCAATTGATTGAAATAAAGAAAATTTTAAAACAAGACTGTGTCAATGTTCGCCTTGACATAATTGAAATGGGTATCAAAGAACAATTAGTTCTATAGTTTCATCATAGTAAGCAAATTTGCTTCCTACATGTCATATATTGTCTAAACAATCTCTAGATGCTTGAGAAACAAGTGACTAACGAACATAACAAAAGTTTCTTAAAGTAGTTCAAAGAATAAGTTCAAAATAATAATACAACTTATGTCTTTTGAAGTAGTAGCCATAATCATTATCATCCCTTTCTTATTTGTCAAAGAGATGTGTTTGATATTCTTAGTGACACCGATATTCTATGTGTATCAATACTATAACTTTGATTGTTGTAAGTATATTTTTATTAACTTAAATTTTTTTAATGCATTTAGTATGTTATTTTAACATTATTGTTTTTCATATATAAGTTATTTACATCGTTTTTACATTGAGAGAAATGATGTTTACATTTATGGATATCTTGACCATGTTGCCTTTCAAAGTGTAGGTAATAAAGCCATTGAGGTGCAAACATATTTGATAGAAACATTTCAAAATTCATGCAAAAAAGTGTACTTAGCACTTTACTTGCATCAATAAATATATAATATCCTTAACAATGATTTTTACCTATCAGTTGCTAATAATGTTATTACAACTTATAGGGTTCATTGACAACCGTTAATAATTATATTTCGATAATTTTTAGTAGTTCTTTTATACTCATTATACAAAAAAATTACTATTTTGATTATTAAGAATATAATAGACTAGTAAGTCTCTTATTCAATTATATTTTATATATTTTATAATTTAATATTAGTAAATTAATAATTTAATATAATTTAATTTACATTATTTTGTATAGAACTATTGATGCATATATAAAGTTGCGGGGCCTTCCACAAGTTGTTATGAAGAAACTTCTGTATATTGCACCGAATGTAAATTATTTGTATAACTATTCTTCATTTGTTAAAATAACATATATTTTCATTATCATTTTTGTATTTTGCAATGTCCACATCAATTAGGAAATCATGAGTATGAATATTATGTAATGAAACACATACACACAATCATATTTATTAACATTATTAACTCATGGAAAGAGGTAATATAAAAAAATTTTAAGGACAAAACCATATGCTCCATACAACACATACTAATTTTATTATTTTCATTATAAAATCCCACTAGATATTACATTTGTTATACATCTTTAATATTACACTCATTATGCATACTCCATCTGTTATACATCTTTAATATTAACGTTATACATTTCATTATTTGTTAATTATTATTTATTACTTTTTTGTTTTTAATTATTTATTGATTAAAAAAAATGTTGATTTTGTAAATATTCAATGATCCATATCCATTGAAAGAAGAAGTTATAGAAGACATGAGAATGCAATAAACTTCCCATTTTTTAAGTATTTTTGACAATTTGTAAATTATTTTAACTTATAATGATGTAAATTAAATAACATTATATACACTTAATATTTTTTTATATATTTTGTATATTATTATTAAATATATTATAAATTTATTGATTATATAGTCTCCCTTAAACATATATATTTATTATTATGCATGAAGGTTGATGTTTAAAATAAAAAAAAATTATTTAAAAAAATATTGCCACTTTTTATGTTGATTATATTTGTAACTGACATATATAAAAGATAATTTTTTATTATTGGTCATACTAGAACTATCATAAAAAGTGAAATTTTCTATGATGGTTACTATTTTAATTGTCATAAAAAATGTCTACTCTAGGTTCATTTTTTATCTTATTATTTTAAATTTTTATGACAATTGAACGTGCAATCCACATGTGATTTTTTTAAGTTGTTTCAAAATTTGACATGAAAAATAAATATTTTTTATATATTATATATCTATGTTGGTTTAAAATTCAATATAAAATATTCAAAATAACCGACAAAAAATGTTTTTATCTAATAGTGAAAATAATCTTTAAATAATTTTTAAAAATATTTTATGTCCTTCATATAAGATTTATTTTTCATTTTTTAAAGGAAAAAAATATCATCGACTTTTTATTATTTTAATAATTTTTATTTTATTTTGTTAGAAATTATGTAAATTTCCAAAATTAAGAAATTTATAAACACTCAAAATAATTATATGTTACTAATAAAAATATTTAGAAATACACGATAATTAAGTGTTATAAACTTAATTTCACCTTTTTAATGTTTTGAATGATCTTTTATCTTCATATTTTATAATATTCTATACTAATCATAATTTATATATATTTTTTATTCTTAATTTATTGAAATCTCTTTTAAAAATAAAATAAAACTTAAAAAATGGATAATATCATTTGACAATTTTTTTAACAACCAATGAAATATACGTACTCAAAATTTTGTTAACATAGTGATAACTTTTAATCACCGTTATTAATAAATTTACCTATTTACATATTTTCACGATATGAGCGTTTTGATTACTTTCAAACTTATTTATAATCAAAACTATTTATTTTCATATAGATTAAAAGTTGTTAAGTTTATTTAATAATTTTTATATATAATAAAGTGGTAGTTTCTTTTAAATATTCTTAAATTATATTTATTAAGAATGATATTTAAGTTTATTTAAATATAAGGAAAAATGTAAAGTAATATTATTTAATAAGATTCTTTTACAATTCAACTAAACAAAAAAAATTGTCTAACACTGTTACAAACTTCAGATTAATAATTATAACATCAAATTTTACAACTTTATTGTTTAAATATTTTCAAGAAGCGTTTGATTACTGAAAAATTTTTGTATGCTATACGAAAACTAGCCTAAACTTCTATGCCATAGTTTGGAATGACATAATCCATATACATTTGAAGCCGAAAGGTTGGGGGAATCTCATCTTTTTTGGAAATTGAGGAATTTTATGCCATAGGCAAAAACAAACAAGAAAAGGAGAACCCAGCCTAAGTGAACAACAACAACCACTGGAAGGAAGTGATAGTCATAACCAAAGCTTTCCTTAAGCAGTTCCTTCAGCCCCATGTTTTCAGCTCCTGGGATTTCCACTTGTGCATTTTCATCACCAAATTGAGAGGTAACAAGGCCATATATTGTCCAAGCATTTGGAGCAAGCCAATAGTACCATCTCCACCATACAGGAATTCTCTGAAATATTTAGGACAAACATATAAGTGCCAAAGAACCTGGTTCAAACATCATATTATGAATTAATATCAAAATGGCAATTAATCGTACCGTCCTAGGAATGACAAAGCCAGCGAACATACTCCAGACGGTCAAGAAGAAGGAATTGCAAATGGAAGCAATTTGGAGAGTCGGGGTTAGTGCAGCAATCATCATCCCATATAGAGTGTAGTAGATCAAACAAATGAGCATGAAGTAGTAGAATGAAAAAAATTTCCCCGCGCTCCATTCAAACCCCATCATGGAGTATATGATGATACTGAAGGCTGTTGTTTGAATAGCGCAATAAATTGCCTCTACTGCCACCTACTTAATCAGTTCGTGCATTAGGATACATATAAGAAATCTATCAAGGGAACGTGTCCCACAAAGATACATAATCTTACTTCATTGAACAAACAACAATTGAATTTATTACTTTCTCTTTAAAATCAACAAATTATGCCTCGTACGTTTATACCTGACTAATTGCAAAGGTCAATGTTGAATACATCCCTGCCGCTCTTTCACGATACAGTACAGTTCTTTCTACGTCAACAATTGGCTGCACTCCCAAAGTGTTCGAGGTTCCAAGGAAAATCACAGCACTGTACATGGCTCCTAGAATATCAAATACATCTTGTTGCTTTTGGCTGTCCAGCAAATTAGTTTAGAAAACATATCATTTGTCAATCTACAACATCAAATTCAATTTAAATTTCCAACATCATATGAATACCAAATTTGTAACACTTGACAGCAAACACTTCTAATTTAATGATTACACACAAATGGAATGAGTATATATAAACTATTAATTAACTTACATATTTTTGGCTTTATTCAAGAAGATTAGACCAAAGATTATCCCAATGACTAGTGTGAAGAAGAATCGAGTGCCATTGTAGGAAGGATTTCGCCAATAAGACCAATACTGTTTCCAAAAACAAGCTTTGCACTGCACAAAGAATGTCTGGGAGTATTTGGTTGGGAAGTGCAAGTCATTGGAACCTGGTGGTGGAATAGAAAGTTCTTTGATAAGCTCTTGATTATTTCTGTTGAATGTATAAAGGAAATAAAGTTATTACTAGTAAAGCTCGAATTCTCCAGCATATAATCGTACGTACTAGTAATTAGGAATAAATCACGGGAAAAAAACTTACAGGTAAAGAGTAGAGTTAGCGTAAATCTCTGTAAAATCTATTCCAAGCTGAGCTTCATATGAAGAAGTGCTAATCTCAAGCATCCATGTGGCAGGATTATAGCCATCCTTGATTTTTGGAACCCCTGGAATAGCCTACAGCAAAAAATATGCATTTATATATAAATAAAGAAAAAAATTCCCGCTGAAATTATAAACTTCCCACTCAGAAAATAGAACAAAGGTATCATAGCAAAACTCTTCAAATGAGAGACAAAAAAACTTCAATACTTCAAAATATTCGACGAGCTGCTGTGATTGGTAACCAAGAGGTCCAGCATAGATAACTTGTCCACCACGTTTCATTAACAATAACTGCAATAAAGAAGAAATCAAATTTGAGCATGTTATGCAAGATAGCAAACAATCAACTAAAGGAAGAAAATTCGCATATGAACTCTAAGAATTTCATATTACAAATGTACCTCATCAAAAGCTTCAAAAATATCTATGCTTGGTTGATGAATTGTGCAGACAACGGTTCTCCCAGTGTCCACTGTGTTTCTCACAGTTCGCATAACAATAGCAGCAGCTCTAGCATCAAGGCCAGATGTTGGTTCATCCATGAAGATAATTGAAGGATTGGCAACCAATTCCACAGCAATCGTAAGCCTTTTCCTTTGTTCTGTTGATAGACCATCCACTCCTGGAAGACCCACGAGAGCATCTCTGATTGGGTTAAGCTCAACCAATTCCATAATTTCTTCAACGAACATCTGAGTCACCAAACAAAAATTAAGCAAAATCAAAATTAAAATTTAAAATATCAGCATTAAAATTTACTTCAATCATACTGGCAGAGAAAATATAACTTAGTTTTTCTCTACACACCTTTCGTGTTTGTGCATTTACATCTGAAGGAAGGCGAAGCCATGCTGAAAATACTAGTGATTCATAGACAGTAACGTGTGGAGAATGAATATCATTCTGTTCACAATAACCACTGACACGAGCAAATGTTGCTTGGTTCTTTGGATAACCTGATACGCTAATATTTCCTTCGATGTATCCACCTGTTTTTCTTCCAGCTAATACATCCATAAGGGTTGTCTTCCCAGCACCACTAACACCCATAAGTGCTGTCAATACACCTGGTCTAAAAAAACCGCTGGCATCGTGCAGTAGTTGAAGTTTATCTTCATCGATTCCTTGCCTTTTCATTTCCTGATACCATTAAACAAAACCAAAAGTTTTTTACAACGAAAAATTCCCAATAATGTTTGCAGGAGGCTTGACCTTCAAATGTTTCTAGGAAAACTTTCAAATATTTCGGTTAAACATATCTATGGCATTATTTTTTCAGTTTAATTGTTTTGGAAGTATGGGGGAAGAATTAATCACAATGAAAGTGATATTACAAGATTATTGAGAAGGTATTCATTGACTTACAGCAGGCATGTCTACATAGTAGTCCACGTGATTGAATGCAAGTGAAAGAGGTTGAAATGGCATGACCAGTCCTGTTCTTCGTTCTCGTTGAGAAGCATTTCTCACATTCATGTCTGTACCTGAACCTGTTCGTCAGGAGGGCATAGTAAATAGTAGTGTCAATCAATTGTTTGAATTGCAGGAGAATAACGCGCCATTATTCTTTAAAAACTAATGCAATAATGTCATGAAAAAAAAATGACATACCCGGCAAATATTTTTGTAAATAAGAATGAAATAAACTTGAATGAACAAGAAATACCTTCATTCTTCTTGTCGTCTTCATCCGTGATGAATGCTTTTGAATATCCAATAGCTGATAATTTTGTTGAATTAAAATGGTTAGTAGCGTTGCAAATTCTATTCATTTACAGACAACTAAAACCCATAGATATATCTCACCATTCAAATAAGACAATGCAACAACGCAGAGAAGGTTCAAAATAAGAACAAAACCAAACAAGACTCCAATGCATATCCAAAACCAGTAATCTTCAGTGTAAAAGCCTCTAGACTTGAGAAGTGCTTTTCCAACAGTAGGTGCATCAAGTCTAGGGTCTGTATTTGGCTGAAAATAAAACATATTTGACAACGCTTGGAGTTAATGGAATTTAGACTCTGAATTTGTTTTTGCATTTGAACGTATGAAAGATGGGCAATAAGAAATAAGATTGAGAAAGAAAAAAAAAAAATTCTTACTTTACTCCATCTTTCGTCTAAAAATTCATTTAGTACCAAGGCATTCTGACCATAACTCATAGGAGAAATATAATAGCTCCATTTTAACCATGGTTTGATATTATCTGCAGGTATAATAGAAAGTACTCGTTAAAACCATATAATTAAAAAAGATGAGTAGGAAACAACAATTCAACCCCAATATCAATTGTTTTTTAAGTTTCCTTAAACTAAAATATATGTAAAAGATTAAGAAATAAATGATGATGCCTCACTTTTTGAGACGACAAATCCTCCAAGCACAAATATTAGTTGATAAGTCAAACCACCCAGTATATTAGCGACAACATATGTTCTACCAATTGCACCAATGAGCCGAAATAGAGAGAGAGCCATCTGATGGACGATAAACAGTGCCAGGAAGTGTTTGAAAAATCTGATGAAACAGAAGGTTTGATGTGAGTGTTAGAAATTTTCATTCTAGACTAAAAAACCCGTTATTGTCAAAATCCAAAATAAAAAAGTAATTTGAAAAATACTAGCCAAAGACTATATGTATAGAGAAAGTAAACCCACAGGACCTGGTAGCCGAAGGGGCAAATCCAATTGTGTAATATGTGAGAACAACCCATATTCCTGATTCCACAAAGGAAACGGGGATCCTGAGAACCGATATAGGTAAGGCAAAAGCCCATGCAGGGTAGAACATGAAATCCCTTTGTTTGTAAAAGACAGGAAGCCTTGAAACAATCATGGGTTGTTCAGGGAACCCATTAAATATAATGTTGACTAGAGAAAAAAATAGTGCTCCAAAGAACTTTCCCCCATCTTCAACAGTGCCCACTGGCATTTCAGTTCTCAGGAACAAGGTAAAGCCTAAAATAGATAAGATAACTAGTTGTATTATCCTGTATGCGTAGACAAACGTGTCACGTTTCATAAGCAACCATTCTCTTGAGAAACATGCCTTCAGTAGTTCCCAATTTGATATACCATACTTGTCTTTAACCAAGGCTGCTCGGTGGGTTTGGCGCTTATCATAAGGAACCCTAAACTCTGTTGCAAGCTGTTCTCCTACGTGGAACAAATGGTAAGACTCAGCAAATTCTGGAACTGAAACATATCTATAAGGTTCATCTCTTCTAAACCAATATTGTTCCTGATCTTTCTTAGACGTTACTTCTTGTAGAAAATCAGCAACTCCCTTTCTTGGAGGACATTTGAAACCCATGGTTTCGAAGAACTCTAGCACATGTTCACGTGGACCTTGGCATACGATTTGACCTTCTGAAAGTAGGATAATGTCATCAAATAGTTCATATGTCTCTGGAGCTGGTTGTAGAAGAGATATCACCATGGTTTCATCCATTATATGAACCATTTGCCTCATGAACTTGCATATCTGAAAAGTTGTGGAACTGTCCAGTCCTGTTGATATTTCGTCCATGAAAAGTGCCTTTGCCGGTCCTACTAGCATCTCCCCTACACCCAGTTACAACTGAAGCAGTAAGTATATATTAAATATACAAGCTATTACTGGCCAAGATTCTAAGCCATTGTCCCCAAAAAGGAAAAACAGGAGGAGATATGTTATTAATAAATTTACTTATTTATTCTAAGTATGTGATTATAAATTGTTTTATTTTTCCTTCTATCCTTTGTCAAAAAAAGAAGAAGAAGCATGTGATGAAATTGACCTGTTGTGACACGCTTCCTTTGTCCACCAGAGATACCCCTTCTCATATTATCCCCAACCATGGTTTCAGCACAAATATCCAATCCAAGTAGCTGTTAAAGCACCAGAGAAATACATGTAAATAAAAATAAATTTAAATATATATTTGTTTTATTTCAAATCTGACTTTTTTTTAAATTCTTATACAAATTTATTCTTTAAAAAAAAATTATATTTATAAGATCCATGTTAAAATATTATTTTTAATGTTAAAAAAACGTTTCTAAGCATCTCTGGTTTAGAAATGACGAAAGGAGTAATAGGAAGTTGAGCCAACAGAATTAGAAACCTTAAGAACATAATCTGTTTGCAAATTGGTTCGTTGACCGGATATGACTGTAGCCTTCATAAATGCATCAATATCAGCATCCGGTTTGATTCCTTCTTGTTTCTCCCTTCGTAGAACTTCTTCCAACATTTCATACCTCGTCCCAACACCTAGACAACGTCCTGTAAAATCTAATGTCTCTCTCACTGTCATTTCTCCAAAGTGAATATCTTCTTGACCAATGTAGCCACACGTTTTCTTAGAAACAAATTCATTTAGTTCATGGCCACAATAAGTTACTCTCCCACAAACCTGATCACCATAATATAAATTTGTAGTGAAAAAAAAAAATTACACATGATAAGAACAAAGAAATCATCTATGTAAATTTATTGAACCAAACAAAAATATGAAAGAAGAGATTGAATTGAACCTTTAAATCCGGGTCAAGCTTCCCTGCAAGTGCTAGAAGTAATGTTGTTTTCCCTGCACCTGGAGGACCTAGAAGTAGGGTCATCCTGATATATCACCATGTTAAATAGAATAAGAATAAGTCTTAAATGATAAATAATAAAATAAAAAATCTATTTCGTTGGTCAATAAATGTAGTTTTCTTCTAAAAACCAATTCTCATAAATAGAAGAAAAGAAAAAACTCATCCATCTTATTAAAAAACTTGCAATTAATAATATTTTTTGCTAATATATTCTAATGAAATAATTATGGGTTACCTTGATGG